AACGCTATACAGGCTATACAAATAACTTATATTTATTAATCGCAACGAAACTTCACAGGATCATCCACAGGACTATTTAAAATATTGATCAAAACCGGTTGGGCGATTTCGGAGTCTATAGGGAACATACATAAATATATACAAGCTTCCATTTTTTATATATAGTATGTATATGATGATAAATTTGATTATACACATACGTTCACATATGTTCTAGACGAATCGATTTAGCCATCGCTTTTGTTTGCCCTTTATGCGAAGGGTTTAGAAAGTATGTAAGTAAAAAGTATACGCTCCAATTCAACATGACCCGAACTGATCATTTCCGACATCAAAAGTCCACTATATCTGTCATACAAATGATTGGTGAAGAAAAAATTTATTTAAGCAACAAAATTAATATAAGGCAGAGAGATTGAAGGGTACTCGTATTTTGTAGTATTTAGTAGTACCAGGAGTCACATACTCGGCCGCTGATTGAGATTTTTTAAACATAATTAATGACTTTAATAGCCCCATGCAAAGGCAATGTATTTTATCTATCAGCAAAGCTAACACATATCAACCATAAGTATTTACGCGGGATTGAAACTATCGAGTGAATAAACAAAGTCGCGGGCTGCATATTTTCACTATCCGCATACGAACGACTTTAATTAAAAGTCAACAAAAGATGGCCAAACCGCCGACAGACAAAAAGGAGGAAAATGTCGAACAATATAATAACATAAAACAATAAATAACAAATAAAGTAATGAATAACAAATTGTAAAATATAGCACAGATATATAACTACTCGAAACTACATGCACAACTTTTGTTTGTCAGCTCTTCAATCAAACATGCGCCCAATCGAAATCGACATCAATCAATGCGATTTGCTAAATGGCTTTTCCATATGGATAAATCCATATGTTCATTTATTTTAGGTACACGAGCTTGTTGATGCGGGCAGCTTCTTCCCCGTTCCGCCCACGAGCTCAAATTGTTGAGCATTTTTCATATTTTGCATAATTTAATAGCTGTATGCCAACTATTTTGTCATGTCGTCTTCAATTTCAATTCCATGTTCAACTGCAACTTGACCTAAGGCCTCCAAAATACCACATTTGAAGAGGCTTTCAAATTTGTGGATTATGTTGTGGGAGCGCCCCGAGGCCCTCTTCAAATGCTCTCTAGCAGTTTCAGCTTTGCACACTCGCTATGGAATTTCGAATATTTCAGTTTAATATTCCATATTCACTTGTCTTTTAATTTACATATTCCGCTTCGCACCTTTAAATGCTATAATTTTATTTGATCGCAGCGAATGCTAGTGATATGAGTCTGTTTAAAAATAACGATGTATCGAGAAGCACATCAATGTTGACTCACGAAATCATCTTCGACTTCTTAAAGAATATATCGCATGACGATGCAAATAGTCTTAGCCATTTCCGACTTTCTGTCTGTCCGAATGAATGACTGGATTTCGGAAACCCCTGATGTTTTTTATGAATAACCTTTTTGTTTATGAAAGTTGAGAACATGTTGTAGATATCTGTGCATCACTCGTGGCTAGCGAATGGTAATCATGAGGTATACGCGTTTTAGGAGTCGATTAAGGCCAAACTACAAACGAATTTGGATTGTTTGGAATTTCATCAAATATATTAAACTTCACCAATACGTGGAGTTCATAAATTTTAGGGAAGTATCGCTACAACACAAATTAAATATCAATAAGATGTTGCACCACTAATCGATAACCATGTTCCATCGCTGGCGTGTATTTCGCTCGAGCTATTTATATGAATACATTTTTGTAATAATTGAATAAATAGTTGAAAAACGGCGCGTTTAAATGGAAATTTGCGCAGAGGCGCAGTCCCACGAAACCATTTTGCAGAAGTGGAAAAATAAATGAATTACTTTTTTGCTGGTTGTTGTAATCAATGTGAAAGTTGGCCTGGCAATTGTTGCACAGTTTTATTTGTTTTTGTTTATTTTTCCTTGTCATTGTTGCACCGATCCTGTTGTCTTTTGTTCGTTGGGTTATAACTGGTTGGCCTCCCATTCGCGTTCCACTGCTGTGCCTGTTGTTGTTGTGTCGTATGCGGTTCCCGCACAACCTGCTCCAGCACCTTACAGCTCTTTGGCTTACTATTTGATGCAAATTGAAATTGATATTTGCCTGTGTGGGGTCGTCAAATTTGTCATTGTCGTCAAAACGTTGACAATGGCAACCAAATGATAGTCAACAATTTGTTTGCCTATAATCACCACCAAAACCCCAAAAATGTTAGCAATGTGGTTAGAAATAAAAAGCCTTTTTGTGTGGTGGCAATTGTATAAATGCAGTGGTTACTTTTTGTTGCCATTTCTGAGACCCATGGAACATTTAATAATTTCATATGAAAAGCATTTAAAGTGCAAGCATCAAATCAAACAGCAGCAGCTGAGCATGACGATTGTTTTTGCTTCCTATTTGCATTGCGCACTGCTTGCTTATACAGCATATTACTATACATATGGACAGAAGAGGTGTGCGCGTGACTGAAAATGATATCACGAACGCAATATTTTCTCACGTTCGCGAATCCTTCACATTTTTTTTTATCATTTTGGCTATTATGAATCGCATATGCTACATAGTACATTTTCCGGCATTATATATAGCGTTGTTTTTTTTTTAAGAATTTGGATAACCATCAATATCTGAAACCAAGGGAAATTAAATAAAATTAAGAATCGTTATTTGCGGGACAATATACGCAAGGTCTATGCCCCGCCAAGCTACTACAGCGTTTGCGTAGTTCCTTTTCCTTTAGCTATTTGTATGTACTACTATATATTGTGAACTTGACCTTGTATTTTCTTGTGTTATGTTGTGTATTCTTTTATTTTGGGCTGGCAATTTAAAGTATGTGCTTCTTAATTAAGAGTTTTCAGTTACACAATTGGCCTATTAATATTTGGTTTAACAAATATCCAGAAGCGAGACTAAGAACTTTTAACCTGTTAGTTAATTAGCTCACGCTATATATAGTATATGATAATGATATTATTATTTAATGGTATATACTCGTATTCATTTAATTCGACCAACTTTCTGGGAATTTATAAAGAGGCAGCAACTGAAGAGCTTATCAGCCAGTGGTAGTTGGCAGTCCAAAGTTGGCCTGCCTGCCAATGGTTAGCGGCCAGTGACTTTAAAAACCATTTAACAATCACTCAACGTATTTTGCGAACTAAAAAAAACTACAATTAAATGCATTTTTTCACGTTTGTTAACCAAAGTGTGTGTGTACATTTCGTATATACATATGTAGATACGCGTATTTTTTCCTTTGCAAAATTACAAACAATAAAAACTTAGCTGGCCGCTGGTTACCAACGTCTTTTAGCCTGCTTTCGTTGAATTTTTATTTAATTTATTATTTTTATTTTGGTTTGTTTGCTGTGCTTTGTTTAGCTAGCTTTTGTTGTACTAATTTCAATTTAGCGCACATATTGAAAATGAAAGTTTTGAGTCGAGTTGAGTTGAATTTAATTGGCTTTTTGTAATTGATGCGGCGATTTTGTAATACAGCGAAACGACATTCGCTTTCTACGAAGCGCAGGTTGCTAAGCTTCAAAAATGTTTATGACACAAATTTAATATGAAATTGGGTCATTACAACTCTTGTTTTTTTCTTTTGAATGATCACAAAGCAGCGATGGTCAATATCTGTTTAATGATTTTGGTTTACACGTGTATGCATAACGTGAAGGCAAAGGCATCTGTGAATAACATGATGATGATGCTGGAAATAAAATGAATGCAAAGTTAAAAATCCTCTGTCCAAAACTCGAAAGAGATGGACTTGCTTGTAAAATAGTATGAACGCTACTAATCCTGTATGAAAATCAAAATGTTGATTGAATGGTTTTCATCAACCAATTATAACAAACAAAAATATTTCTTTTGGTCACTATTGTGTTATGCAGCTAATTTGCATAAACTGTGGTCTGCATGTGCGTAAGAGGAACGTCCAATGAACACATAAATACAAATCGCTGTAAGACATGCCATAACATAAATATTTGTGGCCAAGTTGCCGCTGTTTGACGCACTGAAGCTGTTGACGGCTGGCTACATACAATTTACATGTTATCGTGTTTACACGAGTGCGCGATTTATTGACAGACAAGCCAAGAGAGGGTAGAGAGCAACAGAAGAAGCAAATACAGAGGCCAAGCAAAAAGCGTTGCACAATACTAGACAACTGTGAAAACAAAACGCATGTGACAGCGGCAGCATTTGCACTCGCACCTGTTGCGGCAACATTTGCATGCGCACTTGTTTCGGGAACATGTTGCCAAGGGTGTTAGGCGCGTGTCAGCACTCTTGCTGCTGTTTTGTTGTTGTTTTCGTTGTTGCTGGTCTTGTCGCTGTAGGCGTCGAAGCTCAATTGTTATTTGCCGTTACGGTCGTTTGTCAACAGTTTTGGGCCTTTGTCTTGCGACTACGCTTGGTAATTTACAAAAGTATTGAAATTGCGGCAAGGTCAAGAGTCGTAGAGGGCGTTCAAATTTATACTAATGCGTTGAAGCTACAACAACAATAATAAAACGCTTCAATTAGTTGAGCATTTTGTGGGCAATTTTTCAGTTATTAAATCTACATATGTCCGTGTAATTTTGTTTACTCGGCGCAATTTCGGTGTCAAAAGCATAAATAAAAATAAATGTTGCAGCTATGTGCTTGTTGTTGCTGCTGGTGTTTCCCCCATCATCAACATAACTTGTTAAGTTATCAGTCAGCAATTGAAAGTTGTTAAGTGACTAAGAAACTGCGTGGCCGACACTGGCGGCAGGTAGCAATTTGTTGAGCCACTTTAAGAATTATGACGGTCCATTATACACCTGCCCTCGCGCCTATTCTTCACACATCGTTAGTAATAGCACCACTTAGCAGCGTTTAATTGTAATGCCTAACATATTTTAACCTTATCGCATCTCTTCTATGCAATTTGCAGCAAAACTCACACAGTGCCAATGGTAGCTGCGGCCACAACTCGCGCAGAAGCAGCCATAGATCCAACAACCTTCAATACTCTCAGTGCTCCAAGACGAACTATCGCCAACACAGCTCCGTGCACACACAACAGCCTGCTGGACCTGTGAGAGAAATACAAATCGATCCGTATATAATACTCGATGATGAGTTGAAGTACTTCTATGACGACGTTAGAGACGTAAGTACTATCCATAAAGAAATGAACGGATAAAATGACTAAAGTCTTAGTTACAATTAAAATAATTAAAAAAATCCATGGACTATAAAACATATACTTTTTACTAATATTTTAGTTTTAAGTGATGATACATTGCCATTCACCTTCACTAGTATAAAAGAGTATTTACCATTAAATAGCTAGCACCTGAGTGTAAACGACAAACAATACTAGACCGTAATTCCTTGTGTTTAAGAATACGCGTTTGAAATTTCATTGAGTTAAGCAATTATTTGGAATTCTGTGGTGTCCACCCAGAGTCGAACAAGCAAAATGAAACCGCATTTTGAAGATAAACAAAGAGAGCATCTACGTCAAACACGCGATTGGGATTTTTTCTATGGCAATAGGAATTTTTTCAAACTTAGTCAAAGACGAACAAATATTTGCTAATTTATAACGCAACCAAACAAAAACACGTCTAAAGTTCCCTTGTTCTCCGTTTCCCCTTCCTGTTCCTATAGCTGCTGCAGTCAGGCACATCTCAGTCAGAACTGGACACCATAGCGTGCTACTACTTTGATGGCCAGGGCAAGGCGTTGCGTCCCATGGTTACCATGCTGATGGCCAAGGCAATAAACTATCACCTGAACAACGACTCACAGTGAGTATGGCCTGCAACACTGATTGGGGGCACCTGCTGCCATGTAGTGGAGTGTAAACATTAGAAATCAGCGCTCAAACAATTAGCGAGCCTTTGCGAAATGCTGCCAATGATGTTGCTGGCTAGCCAGCCGCCTGGAAATAACAATTAAAGACAAATCAAAACTATTTAAGCTCACATTTTTAAATTTATTTTTGTTTCCATCGCCTTGACAGCCAATTAGTACACAAACAACGACAGATTGCGCTCTTCTCCGAGATGGTTCACTCGGCTAGCTTAGTGCACGACGATGTCATCGATCAGTCGGATTTCCGACGTGGCAAACCCAGCGTCAACGCACTATGGAATCATAAAAAGGTAAGCTGACTCAACATTTTCAGCCGTACAGTGAGAGAAAATCTATTTTGAAATATTTCTTTAATAGAATGCTCACTATTCGTAATTTGTGGTAATTCATTTGAGACTCAGAACGCTTAAATATTTGTTGTCCATTTTTAAGGTGCCTTGCCTATAAAGTTTATCGGAAGAATAAAAATACTGATATCAAGATAAGATAAGAATCAAAAAATATTTTATTTATGTGGATTTTTGAATTATTTCAAATAATTTTCGGATGGTTAAAGTATTACTCTCTGCCTCTGGACTACGGTTTTCTAAGTCTACAAAATGAAAAATAAGGTCTGTTAGCTTCAACATAGTATATAGTTAGATTCTTCATTTTACTTAAAAGGCTTTTACATTTTTATTTTAATTTAGTAAATACAAATTGAAATTATTTATAAAATAGGAAAAATCACTTAAATATTGATAACAATATAGTTCCTGTTTTGTAATTGTTTGCAGAAGGGATTTCGATTATTTGCATTTAGTTTTTTATGTTTTCTTTATCAGCATTCTTTATAATTTCGGTTTTGTTTATTATTAATCTATTTGTAACTATCGAACATTGATTATCAATGCAAGAAAATGAATGAATTTGTTTTCCGAGTGTAGTCTACATACAAATAGTTGGTGAAATACTCAAACAATGGACAACCACACATCCACACAGTTACAGTCACATTGGGCTTCGTGATATTTATTTGTTTGTTAAGATTACCAATCTGCTCTTTAACTAATTTGTTGACGAAATTGACGCACGCCTTTTGGTATAATAGCTTAACCGGCCGCTTTGTGACTTTGACACCAATTCCTTTGGTATTTAAATATAATTTTTACGAATTTAGTCATTGATTTGGCATAGCTTGAATGTACTCACGTCCACGTATATCAGGCAGTTTATTTTCCTTTGCGTTTGCCGCCTTTTAATTTAAATAATAATACTTTTACTCCGTCCACCCCATGCAATCAGCTGCCATTTTCATTTCAATTTTCTTCACCGCCTTGATTGTTAAAAAATTAAAATTAAATTAAATTGTTGCTGCCACATCTTCACAAAGAAAAATTGACTAACAACCAATTTTAATTTCTTTTGTTTATTTTATCGCGCTGCGAACAAGAAAAGTTACAGCAATCTTGCCGCTTAGTCATGTTGTTAAGTTCGTCTGCAAGATCGCTGGCCATGTTCGTCAGCTTGTTGAAATCGTTAACTGAACTTTTGATTTTGGTTGAAGAGCGTGTGTGTGCTTGTGCGTGCGTGTGGCCTTTTATCTGTGAACGTATTTTACACATTCATATCCATATTTTACAGGTCACAATGGCTGGTGATTATATTTTATCGATTGCCTCAATTATGATAGCGCGTCTGCGCAGCGATGATGTGACGATCGTGTTGAGTCAGGTAAGCGTACGAGCAAACATAACTTTAAAATCGGACACATCAAAGATTTTTTATAAAGCACAATATAACGTTGTAATGAATCGTAATTAGAGCTTGGGTCTGCTCCAGACACTGCAAATTAATAATACTACATATAAAAGCTACACACTTTCTGGTTTTGCATTTAATGCATCTAAAACTGTTAATATCAACCTCTATACCAAATAAAGAATCACTTTTGACCTCTTTTTAAAAGTACATATTAAGCTTGTACCACCAATATACAATTTTCTGAGTTGTCTGATCCATTTAAAATAATAAGGTTACTTTTTTGTTGCTTTTTCTACTGTGTCAAAGTATAGAGATTTTTAAAAAAGTACATTTTTTTATGTACTCTAAAATTTTGTTAAAAAATGGAAGCAAAAGATGAAGAAATCTTACAACAGCAACGAGACATAGAAAAGGAGGTTTGCAGCTCAACGCCATTAGTTAGTGAGAAGTTACCTTTGACATGTTTAGGAACAGAATACATGGGCGACGACATCTTCACCGTCAAGATTCAAGACCTATTGAAGAAGTATCGGTTTATGCGTCGCACGCGTCCCGACGGCAACTGTTTTTTTAGGGCATTTGCTTATTCATATTTGGAGTATTTGATTACAAATCGCACGGCTTTCCAAAATTTTCGAGTATTAGTTGAAAACTCAATGGAAAAACTTGTAAACCTCGGCTTTCCTAAATTCACATTGGATGACTTCCATGAAACTTTTATGGAGGTTCTTAAGCGCATAGATCCGCAGTCTAATGAAGCTGAAGGCTGTGGAAAGCTGCAGAACGAATTACACAAACTGTTTAATGAACAGGGTTATTCGGACTATGTGGTGGTCTATCTGCGCTTCATCACGTCAGCAAGATTGCAAGAGGAGGCAGAATTTTACCAAAACTTTATTGAGGGAAACTATACCGTGGAGGAGTTTCGTCACCAGGAAGTCGAGCCCATGTACAGGGAATCAGATCACATTCATATCATTGCTCTTTGCACAGCTTTAGGCGCCGGTGTACGTGTTGAGTATTTGGACAGGGGCGGAGGTAGCACCGTGAAGGCCCATGATTTTCCTGATGGCTTAGAGCCGAAAGTTTATCTTATTTATAGGCCGGGGCATTACGACATCTTGTATCCAAATTGAAAAAAGATCGATTACTCAGTCTTTTGTTTTTAGCCCATATTCATATTTGAAAATGTTCATTTACAGAGCAACGCTATAAATATGATTATATTTTTAATTAAATCAAAAAAGTTGTGTTTTTCAAACCTAATTAACCATTTGATACATCGGTATCTCATCGGTATGTAAGCAAACCTATTACAAGCCATATTTAACATAATTGTTTTATATAGTTGCCGTAGGAGCGATCACTGCCAAAATCTTTTATAGTCATCAAAATCTGTGCATTATATTATTCAGTTGACACAGGAAAATAAAAACAGTGCAAAAATTAATCTGCCATGAAAGAACTGTTGTTTCTATTTCGATTCGTCGTTAGTTTGTTATCGAGGGGTATAACACAATAATCTGAAGTTGTATCACATAATTGCCATGCGAATCTGGTACAAATTGGAAAACCAAGAAAATAATGAGGAATAAAGATTCTATAATTTCTTATATTGGTCGTTTTTGATGAAGTGTAGGCAATTAGAAATCATTGTTGAACACATATAGCCTTAAGTCCAGTCAGAAAAGTAGTCTCATGTTTGCTCTTCGGTAGTGTATGGGTTCTTGTTAACGTGAATTGACAAGTCAACTGTTAGAAATAAAAACGTGTGGTCTTTGCTTTCCATGTACCTTTAACTTTTAGTGCTGTAGTTAATTACTAAAGCATATTTGCAAAACTCACATTCTATCAATTTTATTTGTCCAACACATTTTGAGAGCCAAGCTGCTTTAAGATCGAGCAAAGAAATCCGGGATTCGGGTATGTACGCATACTCGTATATGGCTGTGTTAAATCTCACACGTGCCTCGAGTCAACAAAGAGCTATGCCGCAAAAAATTCGTATGCGCGATTCCACATTAAGAAAACTGCTTATTTTTTGTAAAATAAACAGCTACATTAGCATGCATACATTTAACGTGGACCGGCCCTTGGGATTTTCATTAAAACCTGTCGCGGTAATGAACACAAATCACGGGGCTGGTCCGCTAGTCCACTAGTCCGCAAGTCCAGCGGTCCGTTCGTCCGCTGGCTGTTCAGCTTGTTTTTACTTCCTGCGCACATTCTGTAGCCATCAATTCCAAGGCGAAGGGAAAGGAAATGCGATATGAGTTCAGAAAACTTTAAAGGCCAGATGCCTTTTCATTTGTGAAGCTCGTTCTGTGTCCTTTCCTACCCCCGTTGCTATTCCATTGTTCTGCGTCTGAAAAATTAATGGTGCAATCCAACTTTTTTCTGTTTCGTCGTTGCGGAAGTTAAAGGCGGCGACAATAATGTTGCAAGGCCAACAAATTAAATTCCTGAATTTCAGACATTTTTCGCCAGCCTCGGCTCATATTTATCGCTGTTTTACGATGCGAGTATGCACGAATGCGTAGTTTCTATAAATTTTAAATTAGTCACACACCAATTTCACTTTTTGCTGTGGAATTTGGTTGGAGAGTGAAATTGGAGCTTCCGTCAGATCACCTTGTCTTGTCACTGGGTCGTTGCCATGGTCGGTACCGCAGATTTACATAATCTCAGCAAGTTAATAGCCCAAGTTAACGATAAACTTGCCTACGCCTAGGGTTCCCGTCGTCTTTGTTGTTGCCATCTTATGTTAAATCCGCAAGCGATCACACGCACGCGCATCAGCAGCAATAACAATGTGTGGACATGGCTCTTCTTTCTGCGGACAGCCCTAGGTGTGGCTGCTTTGCGCCACTGATATTTCAATATTATCCAAATGCCCACTTCAAAATGAGCCGCACTATCATCGGCTCGATCGCATCATCGCCTTATTGGCATGCTCGTTATTAGCATAAGCCAGCATAATTACTTTCGCCATGAGCGCAGAAATGAGCGCAAATCGGAGATTTCGTCAACTGGCACTACGACTTTTTGAATTCAAAATTAGGAGGATGATAGACGATCTCCTTATCAGATGTGACAGCTGAAATGTTTTAGTAGACTGTGGTTCTTAATTATAATTCCATGCGCGAGTATTTAGCGTTCGCAATTCTTGTACTATCGTATTCTTTATCTGTTTAAGGAAGTGTTTTGTTTGGAGATTTGATGAACTAGGTATTTATGTGTTTTTATTGTTTGTTGCATAACTTGCAGCAAAATACATCGTTCAGCTCCAAAACATGTCATCAAAGTGCCATATAAATACACAAACAGAACGTGAACAAAATAATCGCCAATCTCAATAATTTCCTATACTCTACTTTTAGTTGTGCATTATGATTTCATTTGTGTGTGTTGGTTAAACAGATCTAGTGTTTATTTCTTGTCATTGTCCGACTGGCAATGGCCACAGCTCACTTGGCATTCCAAACACGCATACGAATAATTTTAACGGCTTCTAAGACGTAGTTGGCTCAATAGAATTGGTGGGATGACCGCATTTATGGCCATTTTTATTCGTTGTTGGGTTAATCCCAGCACTCTTAAAGGTCTGTACAAGCATTTTTAAAAATTACATAATAATCATACACCTGAAGAAAAGAAGAACTGTTAAGTAAATATCATATATTATTAATCTGCCCCTCTTTAATAAAACAATAAAAACTGTTGGTCTCAGTTAATTTTGTTAGTTTTGGTTTTTTAAAGTGCCCCACTCCAAATAACAATTCAGTGATCTGAAAATTAAGTTTGATTTGGCCTATAATATACAAGTATGTTATAATTATGTTTCGCATGGTTTTATCACGCAGAGAAATGGCCCCTCCCCCATTAGAAGTTGCCTGATCTACACCGGCAAATGAATTGAAGTGTATGAGCAGCTTACAGATTGATTTGACTATATTTGGCTATGTTTTGTTTTCTATGTCATTGGCACCTTGTCGATAGCTCCTCATTTGGTCAGCTTAGTTGGCTAAACAAACAAACAAACAAACAAACATACCGAGACACAAACAATAATACTCTTGTCTGACAGCCACTTATTGGCTATGAACCACCTCAAAAATGTAAGAAACACTTGTTGATCTGTGTTTCTTTAAACAATTTCTCAAAGACGATTTAAATTGAATACACAAAAATTAGATCGCGCTTTGCAGCTAAGTCTAAAATGTGGCTGTACTTTTTAAAACGGCTCAAATGCTAGTTTTTTGTGCGGCTCTAAAATGCCAACAATTTTCGCGCTCAAGCCCGAAGGCGAAACTGCATTTGGTGTGTTGTTGTAGTTGTAGTTGTAGCTAGCGATTAGGGGCTCGCGGGTGTGTCTGTGCACTTGTCGCACTTATTTTGGCTGCCTGTGTTAATTAACATTGAAACTCAAGCGGCCGTCGGCATCGAATCCGTATTGGTTTCCAAATGCACGCTTGCGCGCTCGCTCTGTCTTGTTCGTCTGGTCTTACCCAAATTCGTTAAATAAACTAATTCATTGACTTTGGTCAAATAATTTACGGCCATGCTAGCGTCTTATTTTACTTGAATTGCCGCCTGCCTCTCACCTTGGCCGATGCTGCTTAGTAGCGCTCCTTGAGCCGCATTTTCATATGTTTACATATTTTAGCACCCACACATGTATATGTACATACAAGTATACTATATATGCGTACCATATACATGTGTGCATAGATTCAGATTCTTCTCTGCGATCATCCACCTCTATTTGCCCAACCATTTGACAAGCGCTTGTGAGCTCGCTGCCAGTTCAATGAGTGAGTGGCGGACGAACTGAATGAATGAAAACGCCTATGTGAAATCAAAAGTGATCGAAGTGCCCTCCGCAACAAGAGCAATAGCAATCCATACATAACACATACTATTATTAAATTTTGTTGGTCGTTGGCAGAATGTCGCGCTTCTTGACCGAATCCAATTTTTTGTGTTTGCCTCAAGTATTTCGCACAATTGTGTTTGCACTTGGCGTCGTTTATTTGCGCCCCCTCCCAAATAAAAGTCCAACCAAGCGTGCGGAACTTACATACTTCGCGCCACTCTCAAACACACATAAACACACACACACTTACGCACACATGTCCGTCCCACACAACAGAGAAGTGCTTTGTGAATCTGCATACAAAATGGCGTGCGAAAATATGCTCAGTAGCTTAGCTGCGCCCAGCTCGGGCATTAGCCAGCGTCTTGGCAACCGCGCCTAACTATATCAACATATACTTATGTAAATATATATAATATTTATGCATATACATTGAAAGCGTTTCTTATATAACTTGTATATGTTTTTTGTGGATGTTTTGTAGCTTCATCTCAATTATTGAAGAATGGTCGGCATTTTATGCCTAATTTATACACAGTCATAGACAGCGTTATGAGAGTTTGCATAATAAAAGAACTAGAGGTATGCTAGAGTCGAGTTGACCCAACTATTAAAGACCCTGTACCCAATGAAACCAACGAAATTTGTTATATTTATACTCTGTACATGAAATGTACTCCCCACTTCCCCCCTATGGGGGTTTTTCCGTAACGCCGTTCGTATAATCGCCTATATCTCGGAGACTATAAGACCTAGGGATATCAAATTTAAATTCCAAGATGCCTTATTTGAATACGCAGAAACTGTGTGTTTTGGAATTTCCCTCTCTCCCCCCTCTCCTCCGCAAATCGCGATTTTCTCTAACTCCCGTAATTCTTGGAATTTCGAACTAAAATTTTGCAAATGTTATTATGTTATTATGTGGCGGAAGTTTACCTGGGTACAGGGTATTACACTGTCGGGCTTGCTCGACTGTAGCGTTATCTCTTGTTAATATTTGTTTTATTGTCGGGAATAAATTAGTTTTAGCTGAAAAAACTTTATTTTAGTTGTTTAATATTGCTTTTCCATGGCATACTCAAACATTTCGTTTCATTGCTAAATTCAAGCCTATAAAATACTTACATTGAGTTTAAATGCGCATGCCAATGCTGAGCCCATTTCAAGGCATTACATATAATAAGCTGCAATAATTAAATAAAGTTTACAAGCGTATCGCTTCCTTCACACAATGGCTGCCCACAACAGCAACAAAAACAACACTAGTACATACTTGTACAATAAAATATCACGAACAATTATCGATAACTAAGCATATTTTACGACGCATTGTCCATTTTTCGCATATCTTTGTAGATCTTAACCGATCTGGTTCAAGGCGAATTCATGCAGCTCGGCTCAAGGGAAACGGAGAACGAACGCTTCGCCCATTATCTGACCAAGACATACAGGAAGACGGCATCGCTGATCGCCAACGCATTGAAGGCGGTAAGTCAAGTCGGGCCAGCTTATAGCTCACCTCGATGGGCATGGGCATGGGCATAGCCAGAGGCAGAGGCATGGGTAGATGCAACATGCAATTTCATTGCAATTGGCGAATTACCAGGGCGTATGCAATGCGATGCAATTGCACTTTGGTAATATGCCAATTAATTTGCACGCATGCGTTTGTCATTGTGCCCGTTTGAAGTTACCAATTGGGCCCACTTGAGTATTTGTTATATAGTATAGTATGTGGTTATTGCTGCAACTGACTTTGAACTCATTGGGCTTGATCGTTTGAATAATTGTTTAATATGATTCAATTCGATTCACAGACTGCCGTCATTGCGCAGGCGGACGAGAACGTGGCCGAGGTGGCCTTCCAATATGGACGCAACATTGGACTGGCCTTTCAACTGGTCGACGATATGCTGGATTTTGTCTCCTCCACCGAGACGATGGGCAAACCCACGGCCGCCGATTTGAAGCTGGGTCTGGCCACAGCGCCGGTACTTTTTGCATGTGAAAAGGTAAAGAGAATATTCATTCCATACGTAGTTTAAGAACAAATTAATTCCAATTGGATGATATAATGACGATTTATGATTCTTAATGACTTCGACCTTTTCACACTACGCATAATCGATTTGAAGAATGATTCGTTTACTGTACTTCCTTATTGTTATATGTTTGTGTTCATGAACGCATATTTCTATGTAAGCTATGCTAACAATCGAGATTCGTAATCGTTCATGTAGAACAGTGCAAATAATGCAGTATTGAAGTGTTTGTAAAGATTTATGTGCAGCGTATTCGATGATATCATCCGCATAAGATACGACCACCCGTTCCCTATTTGGGTGGAGCAGTCTGCGAGGTCTGATCAAAAGATATGAAGGATCAATTATTTCCAATTTTTGTACACACATAAAAACACCCTGAAAGTAATGATTGCAAGGATTCCAATTCTGTAATTAATTTAAACACATACCAACTTAAAGGAGTTTGTATGAGATTTGATTAATATGGTTTGAAAATAATTCTTTATTTAATCTTTTGTAAAAAAGATGACAATGTAAGTAGCTTTAAATTATTAGAAAAAATTTAAAGATTTGCAAAGAGATATTCTTATTAGGACGTTTACTAGTGTATCTGCCATATCCAGTTATTTTTGATTTTTCAAGTCGACCTTGAGCGTAGACTTTCAAACTTGTTCCTTGAATTGATTCTTCCCCTTCTTGATTTACTACGATTGTAATCTATAAATTGAGGATATGCTGAATATATTTCGAGTTCCTGAAAATGAGCTATATCCGCACTGGTGCGTACTTCTATATTGTCCGTTTATCAGGCTCTTAAACATCACGTGCCGATTAATCTATGCTAGGTATTTAAAAATACATTCTTCTCTATGATCAGACCTCGCGGACTTCGGTTTTGGGTTGCTTCGGTTTGTGTGTGTGTGTGTCTGTGTGACATTAGCTGCGTTTATGAAACATTTTTAATGTCGTATAAAAGTTGGCTAAAGTAGTGGCGCATTAACGCCAGCGTCGGCAATTGCAGTCCTCAGTTTGCAGCGGCAATTTATTATGCAGCGCGATTAGGCGGCACGTGCGACGCGTTTTAAACAGCGCTGGAGTCGCCAGCAAGCAGTGACAAGTGCAGTCAGCAGCCCGTTGGCTGCGCGCTGTAGAAACCACTGGCGTCGCGATAATGCTGATGGGTTTTGACGCGTTGGCATGCCTCGAGCCGCTGTCGCCCGCCCTCCTTCAACTCATGCAATGAGTGACAGATGGCGCTCGTGTGCTCGACGGCACGCCAAAAATTGCAAAGCGCACCACCTAACGCCCATAAGGCATTGGCATGTCAAGCGCGAACGCTACACATCTGTAATTTGTAATATGAATACATACATATATATACATTACGGAATGACTGTTAATACGGACATTTTGTTATTGTTTCAATCCAATTTACATTTTGTCTGCTTTCTTTGTTTTCGTTTTTGTATCCGTTTCCATAATGACGCTGCCTCAGTATCCAGAGCTCAATCCGATGGTGATGCGGCGTTTTAGCGAGCCTGGAGATGTAGAGCGCGCCTTCGAGCTAGTGCACAAGTCCCATGGGCTGGAACAGACGCGTTTTCTGGCCAAGAAACATTGCAATGAGGCGATACGACTGGCTCAGGAACTCACGGAATCGCCGTACCAAAAGGGTCTGCAAGTGGTGGCGGACTTAGTCATCAATCGCATGAAGTAGAGTGATTCTGTCACTTAGAACTTACCACATTTAAGCTTAAAACAGGCAACAGTTTATGTTATTTTAGATTAAGTCAAGTCAAATGGAAATGTGGACTTCTGAATGAGTCCGGGGAATAAAGACGAGCAAACAAAAGAGAATTGTAAAGATTTAGCAAAGGTCAATAAATGATAAACGATTTATTATTTAGTTTGTAAGCGTGTTGTTGACATTGTAAATAGTTGCATTAAAATTGAAGTTCATTCGTTGTACATACATAATGTGAAATGTTGATTGAATTTTTGAACAAATTTTATATGCAATGTTTTGTGAATTTTTATATAAATTGTAATGCATACAAGTAGCTACTTACAACTTGTAAAGCCAACATAAAATAATTTACAACTCTTTGTACAAATTTTATGCTTAAACATCTGTACCATCAAAAAGAAGAGAATTATTCAGCTCAACTTAAAAGAAAAGAATGAAGGCCTTTCGCAACTATTCTAAAATGGTTAAATTGTTAAATTCTTTATATCGCTTATATAAAACAGGAGGAAATAAAAAAAAAAATCAAATTAACTATTTCATCAGGATCAGACCTTAGTTAACCCCAAATTTTCTTTGTATTTGAGTTGGATTAAAAACACAATAATTTACGAAAAACGATTTTTAGTCAATTGAACAAAAACCCAAAAAATAATGGAAAAATAACGATATTTATAAAATGAAAATAAGATTATTGAAAAGAAAACATTTGTATTTCTATTTCAAAACTTGTTTTACGAGTTTAAGGGCATTTCATGCCTAAATGGTTCAACTGTCAGTTTTGACATTTGGCGGAAACTCATCATATTTAAAACTTTATCTAAATTTAAACAACTTTTTAAAAACTTTGAACCATTCGCGCATGAAATGCAGACATTTTTTATTTAAACATTAAGCATAATAATACAACACTGTCCAGTCTTAATTTTAAACAAAACCATTAGTTTATGCTTCAAACGCAATACTAAACCATAAGCAGAGGGGGAATCTAATTTGTTTACAGAATGCATGGCCACGATTTGTGCAAACTACAATTGTCAGATTAAGGTATATACTAATGGTCTATAAGCCAATAGAAAATGTGCAAGCAGCGTTTGTGTAAAATGGAATTTTTGGTGTTTGTTTAAAAAAGTGTATAAATATTTGGCACCTTTACAGCCGCCCACAAAAATAAACAAAATTTCGCACATATTGGCTAATGCTGATAATTCTTCTGGGTGCTATGACCTTTGGCCCACAAATAATTATTTAAATGTAACAATGTTGAGAATTATTGATATTTATGGTACGATATTTGTATATTTAAAAAAAGGAAAATAAAATGCGATTTTGTAAAACAATCAAGGGAAAGCTGTTCCTCATTCACTAATTCACTAATCATTTTTGCATTATTTTTAATGAGATATCTGTAATGCATTACAAAAGACATCGCTGTTAAGTCGCCTTTATAGTGGCCTTATCGTTTGAATCCACAGGGCAATTCTTTTGTGAATTCTTGATATCAATATTAATTTATAAGTTTATGAAAGCGTTTAAATTAAACAAGAGAGAACGCTACAGTCGAGCAAGCCCGACAGTGTAATACCCTGTACCCATGTAAACTTCCGTCACTGAGTTATATGCGCCCATAGCAGCAGCAAAAAGAGGAAGAAGAAGAGCGAACTTGTTGCTGCAGTTTCGTGGGGTTGTACTGGCGAGAATTTGTTTCGCTAATAACTTTTCTTAGAATTGAATAAAATTTTGAACAACAGTAGACAATTATATACAAATTATGTGTGCAAAGTTTGGTTTAGGTAGCATTTGAAATGTGGACGCTATTGACGAAATTCTGTAGCGGGGGAAGGGGGGGGGGGGGGGGGAATTAAAAAAAATAAAATAAACTCGTCCTTTCTCGGACCTAGGAGAATCTGTATGCCAACTTTGGTTATTCTAGCTTTTATAGTTTCTGAGATCCTCGCGTTCATCCAGACGGACAGACGGACGGACGGACATGTCTAGATCGATTTCTCTCGTCATGCTGATTCAGAATATATATACTTTATGGGGTCGGAGATGCTTCCTTCTGCATGTTACAAACTTTGCACAAACCTAATATACCCTTTTTACCCTACGGGTACAGGGTATAAAAAGTCTAAAGAATAGGTACTGGCGATACTGGATTACTTTTAATTCATATATCCTTAAACTAATTAAACTAATAGGAAATTTACTGAATGGCTTGGCAATATATTTCTTGCTTAATTAGCAATAAGTAAATACAGGAGAAAAGAGATAATTCTGCAGTCGAGCAAGCCCGAGGGTTTAACTTTTCTTAGAATTGACTCTGGGGAATGAAATTTGAACTTTGTACCTTCGGGTACAGGGCTTGACAACGAGAAAAACTTCTAATTTTGCAATTTTGACACACAAATTAAATCATTTCATACTCGTCTAATGTGATAAGGCTACAACGCAAAGTTTCTTCGGGATAGATATAAATCGGGAGGAGGAGTATTGATTAAAACAGACAGACGTTCATTGCGATTTAGATTCTTTTTGTCCTTCTGAAGGATGTTGCACGTCTAAACACTTAAAACAACGTACCCTCATATGTATTTTATAATAAAGAATGTGTATATCTGTAGATTTCTGTGCCCAATAAGTAAATGGATATATTTAAATTATTATAAAGGAAGAATCTCGAAATTTTGATGTCGACGATGAAGCGAATCTGTGTAAATACTTGTATGTGCTTCGGCCTATCCGCCTGACTGGTGAATGCTCGGATTTCGGAAAGCGGTAGAGTCCATACTGACAAGACTTGAAAACTTAGTTTACTTTATTTTTTGGATAAGCAGATAAGGTTCATTTCGATATATTTTAAATTTATTGGTTTTATTGGTTTAAGCCAGTCAATATGAACTATTATATAAATATCTTAAGTTTGTTTTCCATTGAATTTGTACAAGGGTTTGCATATACTCGTACATATAGAATTATATTTTAAACTGAAAATCCTCTACTAAGAGCGTTCAAAACGTCAATTCATTTTTATAAATTACAAGAGAGCTTAAAGCTCCGGCATTTAAGGAATTTTGGAAACATTTAAGCGAGCACAGACATCTTGGTAAACACACACACACGCACACATCTTGTATGCGGCAGCAACTGGCCTATCAAACAAACATTAAGCACATGCCCCAACGAAGCTATGCAACATTTCGGCCAAAGAGGCAACGGCACGACTACGACCGACCCAGTGAAATAGTTTTGGACATGGCTAAAGTCCTTCATGTTGCGCCGGGCATGGCTGGCACTGATAGCGAAATCAGGCCAAATAAATAAATGTGTGTATCTGTCTGTGTGCTTGCGTGTGTAACGGCGGGGCGGCATGGCGTAACAAACAAAAGAGTAGCAACGGCCAAATCGTTTACAGCTGTTTGCTTGCATCGCAGTGGCATTCAACGAGTTCTTGTTGTTGTGCAAACAAAACGGGACTCAAGTGGGCGTGATGGGCAGCTGCTTAAAGCCAAAGCTAGAGCATCGCTTCGACAGCTGCCACAGGGCGTATGAGTAATGTGCGCCCCACTTTGCCGTTTGTGCGGCTGAGCGGCTGTTTAAGTGAATTTCAGTTTTAGTACAGATACTAAAATATCGAGAGGTTTTTGTGGTGCTCATCCTACAGAGTCTCGGCCGACTTAGTAAACATCAACAAGTTTGCGGCACTCTCAAGAGTGGCCGCACACGGAATGCTGCAGTAGAGGTCTTCACTTTTCGCTCTCCTGCCCCTGGGCCACCCATATTTATGGCTTCAGCAACTTTCCATTTTAATGCAAGCTTAACCAACCACACGAATAAGGTCAAATCGATCGCGGCCCCATTTCAGTTACGCCAAAGATTGCCGTTGAATAAATTTATTTTATGTCCAGACCTCGTTACACGCCTGTCATCTAGAGCCTGGAAAATGTCGGCTCCAAAGCTACCGCAAGCACGGAGCTAATGGCAAACGCTTAACGGTGGAACGTGCCTAACTCGCAAATTATTTTAATGGCCCAACTCCGAGCGAGCCCAATGAGGACGCGCTGGTTACGCAAATGAAATGCAATCCTGGCCTAAGTTAACAAATAACTTCAAGGACAGGCGAGTCGAGCACGTGAACGCACACCCGTGCGCGCCTTAACCTAGGCTATAAATAGCAGCGAGGCTGCCTTGACAACCAATAACCCCGTCGTAGGCAAAAGTTGAGTAGCTGGGTTGCCTCGCGTCGCGTCTAGTCGGACTTCGGTGTCGACGCCATTGGTGCCTGGCACCGATCAGGCAGACAGTCAAAGGTTTGAGTTGTGCACGAGACCCGTTCAGTGCAGTGGCAATAGTTGAACGTAGAGTTACTTCCGCTCTCCGGGCGTATATCGCCATTGCTTTCAACATAGGACGCAGACAAGATGACGACCAGCGATGAGATGGGCACCTTCTGTCACGACCATATCCAACATCCGTTGATGTGGTGTGATGAGAAGAAGCGACTGGTCGAGCGAAAGAATGCTGAGGAGAGCTTGCGCATGTGGAGGCGTCGCAAGGCAGAGGAAGTGGCGCGCAAGGAAAAGGACAAACAGGAGGTGGGTATGCCGGGTAGTGCACTTGTTTGAAAATTCCCGATTGTACCGATACAAAACTGCGTACTATATATGTACTAGTATGTGACTCAAATACGTCTTTAATAATCCAAGAAAATGTTCACATTTGTGTTTGAGGGCTGTTTTTGATCTAAGGCTATGGATTAAACAGAGATAAAACACGGCATACAAAGTCCTTTATTTAAGTGAATCTATTTGTAACAACTCTCTGTTTGAATGATAGGAGGAAATTTCTTAACTGTGTTTTGATTTATTCATTCCACTGTACACACAACCAAATGGTTTCATTTTTTCTAGAACAAGAATTTTAATTTGGCCACAATTTTACAAAATTCTCTAGATTCTTACTAGCAACTAGCTTTTTTCGGCTGTTCGGCTCTCATTTTCCTCTACAAAGCACATTTCCCATGAATTGTATAAAGACTGTTTCGAATTTTCCCATTTGCTTCATGGTAGTACAATTCGTGAGCTTGCCATGACGTAATGAATAATGAAAAATAACCTTTAACTAACAAGATTACAAACTATTTGTGAGATGAATTAACTAACATTTTCATAAATATAAACTTAAAATAAAACAATATTTTTTAAGCAACAATCATGTATTTATGAATGCCTGAAGTGCTCAATCAAAATAGGACTGTTATTCAATGACAACAATTTAATTTACACATATTTTGTATTTTATCCAGAACACATATGTATAAGTATATATGTACACTTATGACAAAGGCATTAGTTTGTACTTGGTTTCAATACTCGTATATAATATTGATCAGTTAGATGAGAAATGAGCGGAAAAAAGTATATTCTTTGGCTAAACAGAGTAATAAATAGTCGGCTTGGTGCTCCTTTTAATTGCGAATAGTATTCATATTTCAATATTCCTTTTAAGGACTACTCAAATTAAATGCCCTAATTCCAAATTAATCTATTTAGAAAATAATTATTCATTTGAAAAGTAAAGAAAAAATGCAGTCGGGAACACTCGATAACTGAAACTTATGTCGAATTATGCTCAATATATTTACGAATTTGTTTTGTGAACTGTTTTTTCAATCTTTTTTGCTTCTGGAACACTTTCTAATCAATTCGTCCTTTCATGTTATATTTGTGGATTGATTTTTATTCTATTTACTTATGAGTGGAGTCTGCAACAAATGTATGTATTTTGAGAAAAGAAGAATCACTCTTTTTTTCAAAACAAACAAATGAGAATTTCAACTTTTGAGACATTTACCCATAGGTACTAAAAAGGAAGTCGGCTATAAGCCAATGTGTAGCTGCCCATTGAAACATACACCCACGTGCTTTCAGAGTTCAAAGACCTGTGGGTAAAGCAACATGTACTATGTCGGGCGGGAATCGGTTCAACAAACTCTTTGACAATTTCGACTGCTGTGATCAAATCAAAGTCGAAGGCAGCCGTAACTGTTTGAATAATGGGCCTTCAGTCGACTGTGGGTTGCGTGACTTCGATGTGGCTGCATATCTGGAAAATAGTCGAATCACAGCTGTGCCATTACAGGCTGCAAATGTGGGTGAAAAAATGAATGAAAAGGAAATAAAGCAGAGTCTGACGGTGCAACTATAACAACAACCTAAAAACAAGTGGCAGCAGTCAACAAACAAACAAAACGCTGGCGTCGCAGTTCGTCGAGGAGGGGTGAGGACACTCGTATGTACATACATACAAATAGTAGTTCTATATTCGGGTGCTGGTAGTCAACTGTGCGATATTCTGAATTGCCAATTTCCGTAAACAAACGGCGATGACACACAGAGGTTCTTGCTTCCTTGAAGCGCCCCTAAAATAGGCTGCACCGAAATCGATAAAGCATAAACGCTATATGACTATCAGATATGCTGACTCCAGCCGCCAACATTAGGGATGTGCTCGTGACTATTGCGGGGTCCCGATGTGTTTTGCATTGCCCTTATGATTGTAACGACGATTATTCGTCTTCTTTAGAAAACATTAAAACCCCGAGTCTAGCGCTCTTCCTAGTCATCCTGATGGCTTCTACAGAAGCCATTTCTGTTAATTAGGCCTTTTCTTATACCGCTTCACCAACTGTCTAAATCCAGAATCTATATCAATTTTTCTCCACACGCTGATCATATCTTGTCTAGCATTATTTATTATGGATATAACAAACTTAACTACCACAGCTAATATACCCTTACACTTTTCAGTAATTTTGATTAAAAAATATTAAATTAATAAAGAACAACATTTACTTAAGGCTATTTTTGATTTATTTTCTTACTTTAAATGAAATGTATTGTTGTATTTTTGCTTATATGTATTTTTATACATATATAGTATAGCAATATATAGCCGTTTTAAGCAATCAACAGTATATATTCTTGTATAAAATAACAACAATCTCAGACAGAGCTGAGATATTCTACTCCTTTCTGTTGCTCACATTCACGACATATTGCCATTTCTATAACGTTCGCACTTTGCAGTACTACGACCTGTTCCTGCAACACTGCCCGTGGGGGCGACCAGGCGGAGGTGCACCCAATGTGGATGTGCGCCGCAAGGATATCACAGCCGTAGGTCTGCATTCGACGCCAACAGTGGTAAGTGAGCCGCCAATCGCGAAAGTTGCTTTCTGGGTTATGAGTCTGTCACCCTTTTCACCTCAGACCGCCGCACATCGGATCAACTCACTGCATCCGTGCCGCTATAGCGAGCTATTCTCCACCCAAAAGAAGTGCCACAATAATCCACTGGCCGCCTACCATCATCACCATCTCCTTCACCCGACCCCGGCGCCCACAGGTGCCCGTCTAGCCCATGCACACTCCATACACCATCTGCAGGAGAGCGGGCCACGGAGCAGCACCGTGACGATTTGTGAGCGAGAGATGCCGCCAAAGCCCAACGTGAGTCTTGGGGGCACGGCCAAGAATGGTGAGAGTCTGCACATCACGCTCAAAGAACACCCCTCAATGTCATTTCGCAATAAAGGACACGTGGACATTGAGCTCCGCTACAAGCCGTCGCCTCAATGCAAGGGAAAGCCGCTGCTTGACAAGATCGTGGTCAGCGAGAGCGATCGGTGCCCCCTGCAGAGTGCACACCAGGAGAAGCTGGCATCGCAGAAAAAGAAGCTTCAGGCCAAGCTAGAAAAGCCGGTGAGCGCATTTATTACACGCATGGGGGCGTGGCACTTCTAACTGTCTGATTTATTATTTACTTGTAGCCCAGCAAAGAGCCCTGGGGAAAGGCGGGCCCGGGAGGCAAACCCTGGCGCAGTCCCAAAGAAGTAGGCAACACTTTTATGAAATCTCTGGTAAGTACTGTTGGGGAATAAATTTCATTAAGTGACAATTTAATTACGAAAAAACTGATAGAAGAGATGAGTTTGTACCTTCGAAAATAAAGCAAGTACTTGATAAAATAGGAACTACTTTCACCTACTGGTAAGGTCTATGCACGTTATCTTTGATAGAATGTGTGGTGGTTAGCCGATTTCTGTTGGACAAAATTGAACTATTATTGACATATCCATATCATATCGATTGAAAGCAGTTTCTTGTATATGCTGTCACTTCGAGAGCATTTGATCTTCATTTTGGTACCCCCACGAGAGAATCGCAGTCATCTATAATTACCTACTATTTTTCATGTCTCATCTCTCAAAACATTTTCCGATTTCCTTTTTTGAGTTAGTGCAGAGTTGAAGAGTTTTATTTCCAACAAAAAACATTAAAATTGTTGTCATTATATAAAAGGCTTTTCTTCAATAGAGGTTAATTATATCATATATTGAAGAACAAATTACCCAAATGATGGCAAAACTATAGCATTGATTACACTCTACCCTTACCTCCAATTCAGGGATGGACCAACAAGGAAATGCTAAAGGAGCTAGATCAAGACAACCCTGTGACTCCAGCAGAGAAGTCCACTTTCCGAAAATCACGCGCCCCCAAGCAGATCAAAATGCAGCGCTGTTGCGAACTCTGCACCTGCACCTGTCCCGCCATGAACAGTCCCCAAAGGGCTCTATCTAAAAAAGTGCCCCCGGCTCCTGTCTGCGGACTAGGCTCGCCACCTAAGCTGCTTCATCCACCCAAGCCCGTGAAGTTGTGTCCGCGTCTGGCTCGTCACTGCACCATAATGCCAGGACGTTCAGGTCCTTGTCCAGTAGCAAGCACAAGCACCACCACAGCTACCCCAGATGCTAGCACTGCGGCAGGGGCAGGTGGTGCTGGCGGCGGAGTGGAGCTGGTGCCGTTGCTGGCACGGAGACGGGCTATCAACCGGCCCATCAGCCTGTCCAGCACTGACGTGACAAAGCGGACTCCCTCGCATGATAGGTACGCATCCAAGCACAAGACAAAGAACAGCAAATGCAACAACAACAGCCATAGCAAATGCAAAAGCAACAGCAATAGCAATAACAACAGCAACAATAACATCAACAGCATCATTAAGAACATCAGCCACATGAAGCGGCTGCCAAAGAACTTGAATTGCAAGTTGCAGTGTTGCAGCTGCGCCTGCGGCAACAGTGCCACGGCCACGGTCTGCTGCCTCAAGCGTCTGACGTTGCACATACGCTAGATCATGACTCATGTGTGTATGTGTGTGTGAGTGTGTTGCATGCGAGTAGTAGTGTGTATGTTCTGTGCACCCAACTGTAGGTTTTAGTTTCTCATTTGCTTGCTCTGCCAAAAATTTACATTTACATCATCTGATCGGTCGCGCCAACGTTCATACGTGTAATGCTCTGACAAGAGGAATAATAACTAAATTAGCACCTTTCTGTCTGTTATTTGTATTGTTTTAATAGTCTCTCTACCACTTCTCTTGGCTCATTCTATGCGCAAAACAGCAAGAAAATATCCATTGTAATACAAGTGAAAGTATAGCAACCAAAAGAGCAAACCCAATCACCAAAATCGTATCAAAACAAACCAATTCAAGTCAAGTCAAATCAAATCAGTTCAATTTAAATAAAATCAAACTCAACAACAGCAAATTCAAAAGTCATAATACCAATCTTCTATGTATCCCCGTGCAAATCGTGTAATCGTTCAATTCAAAATCAAAACAAACCTAAATCCAAACGACTAAACGAACCACCAAACCAACGTTACCGCCCATACCCTTGTGAATTTCTGCATCAATGGCGACATCCCCATCATGAACATCTACAACAACCATCGCACCACCAACCAATCGAAATTCAACTTCAACTTTAATTTCGATTGGCAATTTCGCTCAGGATACAAACGGCCGCCGACATGCGCTATCTCCACGATTTGAATGTTCAAATATCGCAGAAACGTCGCTCGGTCAGCGTCTCCAAGCAGCTGGACCGCGACCTGTGCAACCAGCATTTCGACACATTCGAAACCTTTTGGGGACGGCCAGGCCACGGCGCTCCCATCGCCGATAAGATCAACAAACTAAAATTAGACAATTTGCTTTATGGTGTTCCCGAATCGAGCGCGTAAGGCGAATCAAACGCAGCACACTTGTACTAATAATAATAATGGATACGGAGCAGCCACCAGTCAACTGCATACACACTCATACATATATACATAGTATAATTACATATGTACAAATACTCAAATACTACACACATTGTACTACATACAAATCGAATATGGACAGCCACTAGTTAGTCAGTCAGTTAGTGCCAGGCATTGTATTGCATTTACTCGTTGTTTGTGTGCTGCAAATATTTTTCTTTGAAATCAATCGATGGCCATTGGCATTGACAGACAGGGAGGAAGGTGGTAAAGGCAAGGTCTAGGAAAATTAGTTTAGCCTTTGTTGCTGCTACTGCTGGTTGCATAAAATTTTGCCAACTTGCCGCCGTTTGTAAGTTGCACAAAGTTTAGATTAGGCAATCAGTTAGTTGACTGGCTGGAAGGGGATTAGGGGTAAGGCCTTGGGCACATCATATTTCCTCATTCTTAGTTAGCTATTTACTAAATACACCATGCAACTAAATATGTATGAATAGACATTTAAGCTTAGTTATTAAACATTGAATGATATATGTTTGTAAAAAAGAACGGTGTAAATAAATTGGATATTCAAAAACGAACTTCTTTGCTCTCTTGAATTATGGAAAATAAATGAACAGTGCATTCCAAACCACCCTCGGCGACCTATGCGTCAAAAACTGTATGTAAGCATTGAACAATGCTTTCGAAACAGTATTAGTGGAACAAATAGTATTCAGTTTATTTATAGCGTAAATAGCAACTAAAATGATCAGTTAAGCTTGAATCGCATTTGTTTGACCTTGTGAACAGCTTCCCTCAGTCCCTGTACAAATTTCTTTTGGGCACTCTATTCCGAAATAATGGAATATAACAGCAATTGTTGACAAGAGTGTATAGCACAGCTGGCTCTGGCCAGTTGGTTACTAAGCTAATGGTCATTCGTCTCTTAATTAAAGTAATATGTACAATCAGGTTCTCTGGCTATATGACATAGGGATTTTAGGGATATTAGGGTCTTACCAAGAAATTTTGTGTTTGTGTTTGTGTTATCGGTGCGAAAATGAGCTTCGAACAAAGAGCCAACATTAAATTTTGTTTTAAAATTGGTAAAACTTTTACGAAAACATTTCAATTAATGGAACAAGTTTATGGCGATGATTGCCTATCCCGTAGCATAGTGCACGAGTGGTTTCAACGTTTTTTAAGTGGTCGTAAGGACATAAATGACTATCAACATGTGGGCCAATCAAAATTCGTGATCACCGAAAATTCCATCGAAACTGTGCGTGAATTCATCAAAAATCTGCCGAAATTGATGGAAATGGAATTAAACATCTCCAAAACATCGATTTATCGCATTTTGTGTGCACGGTTTGTTCCGCACAAATTGACTGACGACCATAAATTGCTCTCATCGATCGACGCTCGTGACCGATTATTTGACCAAAAATCACATTTTAACCATTAATTACTCGCCGTATTCACCTGATATGGCACCGTGCGACTTGTACCTTTTCGGAAAAATGCATTTGCCCATGAAAGGAAAGCGGTATGCAGACGTAGAGGCCATTCAAAAGGCTTGCACCGGCATACTGGCGGCCATACCGGCCAACGAGCTAAAACACTCGTTCGACATGCTTTTGGATCGTGCAAAAAGCTGTATTGAAGCAGAAGGAGACTATTTTGAATAAAATAAATTGATTTTGCCGAAAAAACCATTTGTTCTGTTTTTTTTTTAAAGTCCTGTTTACTTTGGAACACACCTTGTATATACATATGTGCGTACATATACAAAAACCGTTAACCCTTGCAGAATAAATAAAAGTGAAGAGATGCCAATAAATGTACTAGAATGTACACAGGTTTAATTTTGGGCATTTAATGATTTGAAATTGACAAAGTTTTATCAAAACTTTTAAGAAGTAGGTAACATTTTTTTAAAAGACAGGTCAGAAATGGTAGAGATACGTTACGTTCTTGCTTTTCTTGGTTAATATAATAATATTAAGGTGTTTCCAAAAAATATCTATAATTTATAGGCATAGGCGTTATATTAATAGGTTATACATTTTGTGACTTGCATTTTTGTTGAGTGATCAAATTTTTACATTTATAATTATAGCCTGTACCCAAAGGTTAAAAGGCTATACCAGTTTTGTGCGAATGTATGTAACACACAGAAGGAAGCGTGGCAGACCCCACAAAGTATATATATTATTGATCAGGATAACAAGACAAGTCGATATAGCTATGTCCGTCTGTCCGTCCGTCTGTCTGTATGAACGCAAGGATCTCAGAAAGTATAAAAGCTAGAATAACCAAACTTGGTATACAGATTCTCCTGAGACCGAGAAAGGACGAGTTTGTTCATTTTTCCCGATGCACTCCCACTCCTCCCCTATTCGTTATTTTCTTTAACTCCCGTAATTCTTGGAATTTTGAACTAAAATTTGGTAGACACATCCAGTTCGTGATTATATATCCGTATACCATTATGATATGTTGATCAGAAAGAAAGTTATAGCCATATAACCAGGCCCTATGCACACATAGATTTTAGATATCGTCAAACATAAATATGCCGGTTCTTATAGAACACAAAACCATAATGTAAGTATTTAGCAGTGAACAGTACTTCCAAAACTGCGCATACTATGAGTACTGTAAGGGCTATTTACTGCATTGCAATAATTAACTAGCGCCCTAGGATAGGCTAAGGATTTTTACGCTTCAACGAAAAAAAAAATCGAAAAAACTTAAATAACCAAAAGCAACGGGTTCATGTCAAATCGGCGGGAAGGCACTGCACATATTTAGACACGTTACGATTTGTTGGGCCGGATAAGCACCGCTTAGAAAGACACCTGACACAAATTCAGAGACATTACCTATGCATACACAAGGGACTTAAGGGAGCACACGCAAATGCAAACAAAAACACGCACAGCTGACACCCAAAAGTACATCGAAGCGCAAAACCTGACAAGCACACCAAACCGGGGGCAGCTGTAGACCCACAGATGTCGAGTCACGTTTGTGCCATTTATTATTTTAGTTGAATTACCAACACAGATATTTTACACACTCGTCAATGAAACAACACGTATTGGATGTAAAACGTCTGAATATACATATGTATTTAAGCCCTGGCTAGGTACGAGCATATATACACTTTGAGCTGGGTTGTAGCATGATTATGCATATTTCATTTGCTCAGCGAGCTCAGGTGGTATATTGAAAATATTGAATACAAATATGAAGCTTTTTGAGAGTTTGATTTTGCTGTTTACGTTTATACATACATATGATCCAAAGAACAATTTATTAAATTTTTACGAAATTGTTATGTGCATATTATATGCTTTACATACATCCTAGTAATTCCAAAGATATGGCAGAGATCAGATCAAAGAAACGTCGATACAATGGAGCCAATAATTCACCCAACACACACAAACTTACCTTCTGATAATGCTAGCCATACATTTTTATCCATATTAATGATAAAAAGGTCTGGATATATAGATATACATATAAAGCTGAAAAGTGCGGCTTGGGTCTCGAACGAACTTAGCGTACCATGTCTGTACCTAATCTTTCATTAGAAAGTATTTTTTCATAGAGGTAAAGAAAGATAGATCAAACTTGTATGTATGGACGATCAGATTAAAAACAAGTGGATTTAAATAGAGGCGTTATCCGTTACAATATTAAATATTAAAATATTTCAGACAAAAGCGTCCTAAGCAACTGCATGTTAGTGTTACAAATATAGGGTCCAATACCATTTATAAATTTCTTATTCCATGCACACACACCTATACTTCCAAAATGAGTTACCTGAAACCAAATCGAATGGTTTTATTTTGATACTTTACGTTGGAAAACAGAACTCAAATGCTTCAAATTCGCCAACGAAGTTATGCCTAGAAAGTTGCCCAACTTTTCCTTTTTGCTGACGCTTCATTTGATGAAATTAAATTCTTTTGAACTTTTTAACCAGAGTCTTGTCAGCTCCTTTAATGAATAAATTATACTGAAATTAAGAATTTATGTAAATATGTCCATTTGGAGCAATTCCTGAGTGGGAAGTGTGTCGTGTGGGTTTTTCTTTTAAAAACATACTTCTTATGAGCCCACAAAAGTACACGCATCCTAAAGTGCCAAAACGAAAAGGCTAATTACACACGCACCCGCAAACACACACACATCCACATGCATATTAAGAGCATAGACGGGCCACGGCTACAGCCGAGAAGCCGCTCAAAGCTAATGATGATGACTTTGGACCTCAACGAGTTGGAAAATAGACGAAACCCAAGTTAGGCCCGAGAACAGGGCCGAGAAAAACAAAAAGAAAATATTTGCGTAAAGCAACAACAAACAGAGGTTAAGCGTTTTCAACCGTCTAGGCCAGCTCACATGTTCACGCTGCATATGTAAATATGTATATACATACATACATACATATATACTTATGTATGTGTATCTGTTTATATATTTGTGAGGGGCAGCCCATTGAAGCGTACAGCGTTGGCCCAAAAGGCAGACGACGAAGTTAAAGGCAAGAGGCAAAGAAATGGAGACTCTTTGATGTTCGCGAGTAAAAAACAAAACAAACGAAAAAGGAAAAGCAACTTTGTATGCATTAAATTTTTATCAGAACTTACGGACTTTAAAGTGCAACAAATCTGCCAACTGCAGAGCCCAGCGGATTTTACGGCACATTTGACTAAATACTCATTAGGCGAGATATTTAGTTTTGGTTTTCGCTTCGCTCTAAATGTTGGTATTAGTGTTGGTCGAAGTTGAATTCGATGTGCAGCGGACATTTTCAATTAAAATGGAAAAACTTTTCAAATATTTGCCAGCCAACACTGGAAATTGCATTCTATATATGAAGGCTTATATACTTATATACATTTAAAAGTACACATACAATCGCCTTTTGTAACGGGTATAGACAATAGCCCATTAGTGTAGGCGAGGTGGTGGGT